CAGACAAACACACACACACACACACACCCACACACACACACACACACACACACACACACACGAAAATCAATCAATGTAATGATAATTTAAAAGAAATAGTTGAGGAAGTGGGATCTAGTGGCATGTGCCTGTAACCCCAATTCCTCAAGAGGCTGAGGCAGGGGACTGGCTGGAACCCAGTGTCTGGAGCCAGCCTGGGTAATCAAGAGTAAGTAGGTAGGTATCTATAGTTAAATGAGCAGATAGTAGACAGGACAGATAGATGAAGCAGCTCAACAGATTACTAAAATAACTATTGGTTGATTTTTTTCCCATTTGTTATAAAGATCAAACTCAGGGCTTTGAGCCTGCTAAGCAGTGTTTCACTATGTAGTTCAGGCTGAAGCTTGCTATGTCACTCAGGGGGACCCTGAACTTAAAATCTTCTGCCTTAGGGTCCCTAAGAACTGGGGTTACAGGCCTGCACTACCAGGCCTACCTTCTTCATGTATGTGCCTTATGGTTGTTTTGTTGTTGTTGTTTTTGATTTTTTTTTCCAAGACAAGGTTTCTCTGTCTAACTTTTGGAGCCTGTCCTGGAACTCACTCTATAGAGCAGGCTGGCTTTGAGCTCACAGAGCTCTGCCTGCCTCTGCCTCCTGAGTGCTGGGATTAAAGTCTGCACCATCACTAACCAGCTATTTTTGTTGTTGTTGTTGTTGTTGTTGTTTTTGAGAAAGGGTCTTAGTATGCACTGTGTAGCTCTGGCTAGCCTAGAACTCACTATGTCGACCAGGCTTGTCTAACTCACAGAGTTCCACCTCCCTCTTCTCCTGAGGGCTATGATTAAAGGGATGTACCTTCATGTCCAGGTCCTTCTGGTTTTTGAAAAACACACAGCAGTGGTTCACAACCTTCTTAGTGCTTCAGCTCTTTAATAGTGACCCATATGTTGAGTAACCATTGCCTGATAGTCTAGAGGTTAAGAAACCAGCAGCAACTGTCTGATGCTCCTATCCTGCCAGCATCTAACATTGCATCAATCTACAGGGAATACTAGATGGCTAACTTGTAAACCATCCAGTACAGAGCCTAGGCTGTGAGTCTCTTAAATGATATCCCCTTTATATTTTTAGCACTCTCTTTTACCACTCTCCTTTAATACTCCATCACTGAAGGAGCAGATCCCTGAAAAGAGGCGAAATACTCCATCAGAGGGCATGTTACAACAGGTTCTCGAAAATGATTATGACTTATCTAATCCTTTTTAAAAATTGTATTTATAAGCCAGGCATGGTGTCACACACCTTTAGTCCCCCTGCTTGGGAAGTGGGGCAGGCAGGTCTCTGAATTTGAGGCCACATTAATCTACAAATTGAGTTCTAGAACAGCTGAGGGTATACAGAGAAACCCTGTCTCAAAAGCAAATAAACAAACAAACAAAAATTGTACTTATATGTAATAGCACACCTGAAATCCCAGGATTTGAGAGGTAGAGAAAGGCAGATCTCTGTGAATTCAAGGCCAGCCTGAGATCAAGTTACATACTGAGTTCAAGGTGATGTTATATATGTGCATGTATTTGATAAAACTGGAATAATACCATGCAAGACTTGTTTTGAGATAGTGTCTCACTATGTAACCCAGGATGGACTAGAACTTGTAATCACCCAGAATGCCCTCAAACTCATGATCTTCCTGGATCAATCACTTAAGTGCTGAAGTTATAAGCAAACAACACCATGCATGGCTCCATGTAGGTTCTATTACTTAGTGCCAATTGTATTTCATTTTTTGGACATAGGGTATCACTGCATAGCCCTGGCTAGGCTAGAACTAGCTATGTAGACCAGCTTGCCTCTACCTTCTGAGTGCTGGGATACTGCATCCAGCTTACTACTTAGTATTATAAGTCTCTTTCAGATCAATAAATAATTTATTACTTATCACAAGTATTTTATTATTTGTATGTGGCTTGGTGTGGCCAGAGGACAACTTTCAGGTCAGTTCTTTCCTTCTACCATGTAGATTCTGGGGATTGAACTCAGATCGCAGGTTGGGCAAGTGCCATTATCCACTGAGCCATCTTATCAGTCCTAGAACCTAGATTTGTAACAAGTGTCTTGCAGCCAATTATATAACAATTTATTCCAGGTGCCACTCACTGGATTTTTTTTTCAAGACAGGGTTTCTCTGTAGGTTTAGGAGACTGTCCTCGAACTCTCTTTGAAGACCAGGATGGTCTTGAACTCACAGAGATCTTCCTGCCTCTGCCTCTGCCTCCCAATTGCTGGAATTAAAGGCGTGTGCCACCACCACCCGACTCCACTCACTGGATTTTTATGTTCATTTTCTCCAACCACAAATAACACTGTGACTAACAGCAGTCCTGGTATAACTGTTAAGAGAAAGGGCATGAGCTATTACTATAAGGCTCTCGGTCCATGCTGTTTCCTCTGGAAAGCACCAACCCCAATTCATTCTTCCCCTATCCATGCATGAGATTTAAGATGTCAAAAGCTTTTTACTTATTTTAGCATATCCAGAAAGGGTAGGATGTTGTCTTAGTAACTGTCTATTGCTGTGAAGAGATACCATGATCAAGGCAACTTATACAAGGAAGCATTTAATTAGGGGCTTGCTTACAGTTTCAAAGGTTATTATTATTATGCCAGGAAGCCCAGCAGCAGGCAAGATGGCAGTGAGAGCTTAAGTCTGAAAACATGTGGCAAAAAGAGCATGAGACTGGACCTGTCACGAGATTTTTGAAACCTCAAAGCCCACCCCCAGTGACACACCTCCTCCAACATGGCCACACCCTCTAATCTTCCTAAACAGCTCCACCAACTGGGGACCAAGCATTCAAACACATGAGCATATGGGGGTCATTCTCATTCAAACCATCACAGATGCTTTTACATTTTTCAAGGCGTATCTAATATTTATGCCTGTGATTGGTGTGTGTGTGTGTGGTGTCACTGCTCACTACAACACTGTGGAATAGCTGAGGCCAGCCCAGAGCTCTCTTGCTTTCTTCCTACCATAGTTTTGCAAGTACTAGGCTGAGATTATAGACATGTGCTACCAAGTCCAGCCCTATTATGTTTTATAGTAGAAAAAGTAATGCCTTGTTTTGTTTTTTCAACAGACTTACTCTGTATTTTGGATTGATTTGGAACTCACTATATAACCCAAAATGGACCTGAATTTGAGGTGATCCTCTTGTTTTAGTCTCCTGAGTGCTGAGATGACAGGTGTGAGACACCATGGCCAGTTGATATCACCTTTTTAAAGAAGAAAAATTATTTGACCCATTAAGCAAATGGGAAAATTGAAGCCTATGGGTGAAAGTTAAAATATTTTTCTTCATCCAGGTGGTGGTAGCACATGCCTTTAGTCCTAGGGAGGCTTGAGTTCGAGGCCAGCCTGGTCTATAGAGGAAGTTCCAGGACAGACACACAGAGAAACCCTGACTTGAGAAAAAAAATATATGAACAAACAAAAAGTCATATAGCAACCTACTACTTTTGTACTTGCTATCTGGGTGTGAGTAAGAAATTTAAGAGTCACCTAATTATTGGGGAGACTATGCCCCAACTACACATTTTTTGAAGGTCTCCATTTTTTTAAATCTTTATGTACAAAGACTAGCATGATCTGTTTCACTGGGTAGACAGTCTTGAATAATCTATTCAAAGTTGCTTAGTCCAACTTAATGAGGCCTATGTCCTTTGCATACTGACGGCACAGGTTCAGCCCATATTTTTGTATCAGACCGTGGCAGTTAGAGCAGACTTGGCAAGATTGAGAGCCCTGGCTGAACTTCTGAAGGTGACTCCAGTAGAGCTGCTGGTGACCCATCTTGCCTTCAGCCGGCCCAAGAGGAAAAAGGAGCAAGCCCCCCAACTACACATTTATGCCAACAAATAAAACATCCAGTGTCAAGCCAGGCAGTGGTGGTGCATGCCTTTAATCCCAGCACTAGGGAGGTAGAGGCAGGCTGATCTCTGTGAGTTCGAGGCGAGCCTGGACTACAGATTGAGTTCCAGGACAGCTTCCAAAACAATACAGAGAAACCCTGTCTTGAAAAACAAAAACAAACAAACAAACACACAAAAACCCAAAACAAACAAAAAATATCCAGTATCAAGAATGGGTTATATCTTGTTGAGTTGTTGACCAAAGGGGGCCCATGGACTGCCTCTCACAAACAACATACACTTTTATCAAGGCTTTCGGTTACTCTTGATAACCTGTTGATGAGGCCCTGTCGCTGAAGACACCACTTATGTCAACAAACATGGGAAGATGAAGCCAGTGCCCAGCCAGCACCTTCACCCCTGCTGACTGGTAGGTGCTAGAAGGTACTTTGCATACCACCAGAGGAGAAGAGTAATCATAAATTTCACCTAGATACAAACCCCGAAAACTACAAAAGCGGCCTACCTGAAAGATATAGTGGTGTATCAGTAGCACAAACGTCATGTGAGTGACCAACCACTTTCTGATTGGATTACCACCCACTGAGTGAAATGGAGCCCATACCTGAGGCTGCAAAAGTGGCCAAGAACCTGAAACTATACAGGTCATGGCCTAGGGAAAACTTACTGCTATTTTTCTGCTAAAGGAACATAGCAATAAAACAACTCCTAATAAAGTACTGCTAAACCCATGGGTCATTGCAGCCCTCAGCTCCCATTAGAGGTGCTGCTTCTGGCTGTAGACAGTAATTAACAGAGAGACCCAGAACTGAACAAAGTGCAGAGATGCTGGAGCACTCAGGCCTAGATGGGATGTAAACACCTCAAGGCTCCAGGAACGACGAAGGAGAGGTGGCCAAAAGACTGTAAGAGCCAGAGGTGGTGCCTGACTCCAAGGAAACCGTGTTTTCCAGACACAACAGGGTGCATATGAGCTTACAGAGACTAACAGCACACACAAGACCCACACAGCTCTAAACCAGACAAAACTCCAGTGCTGAGAAGGGATAGTGAGTGGACACAAAGTTCCTTCCCTAACCAAAAAGCTATTTGTAATTGATAACTGCTGGAAGAGGAAAAATCAATACTTTCCAATGGAGTGTCACTGTGTTTATCAACCACACTCCAGGGCAGGGCCCATGATTCTTTTTGTGAGCATTTTATTTTGTTTTGGTGTTTTGTTTTTGTTTTTTGTTTAAAGTTTGTGTGTTTTGGTTTTCATTTTGTGTTGCTTTTATTTTTCCTGGTTTTTTGTTTAGGGAGATGTTAGAAAGTCACAGAGAAAAATGAATTTTGGTGGGTAGAGAGATGGGGATAATCTGTGAGGAATTGGGGGGAAGAGAAAGAATATAGTCAAAATATAATGAACATTTTACAAAACACTAAAAAATACATTGTATATAAAATTTATTATATGTCAGTTACATTTCAATAAAGTTGTCATAACAAGTCTGTTTGTTTGTATGTTTGTTGATTCAGGGTCTGGCTATGTAGCTTTAGCTGGCCTGGAACTCACTATGCTGGATTCAAACTCATAGAATTCTGCCTGCCTTTGCTCCCTAACTGTTGGGATGTACCTCCAAGCCTGTCTCAGTAGTTTCTAAAAACTCTTTGAGGACAGCCAAAGCTACATATCTCATATAAAACAAAACAAAATAACAAACCTTTAGGACTACCCAGGTGTGGTGGCTCACATCTGTAACCTCAACACTTGAAAACTTGACTCCATGAGTTCATGGCCAGCAAGGTCTACATAGCAAGTTCCAAGCCAGCCAGAGCTACACAGTGAGACCTCGTCTCAAAATATGAAAAATGAAAGGAAAACCAAGGCCACTGAGTTGGCTTACTGGATAACAGGATTTGCCATGTAAACCTGATGGCCTGAGTTTGATAGCCAGAACTCACAGTAAAAGAAGAGAATCACCCTTCAACACACTAATAGTAAATAAAATGTTTTAAAAACTGCATAAATTAAAAATAGAATTAAGCCGGGCATTGGTGGCGAATGCCTTTAATCCCAGCAGAGGCAGAGGCAGGTGGATCTCTGTGAGTTTGAGGCCAGCCTGGTCTCCAGAGCGAGTGCCAGGATAGTCTCCAAAGCTACACAGAGAAACCCTGTCTCAAAAAACAAAAACAAAAAAAAAAAAAAGAATTAAGTCTGTTAGTGTTGAGTTCAATGATTCAGTAGAGACAGCCAACAAACGGAAAACAAGATAAACTCACCAGACCTGAGCCATCATCTGGAATCTGGAGTTAAGGCAGGTGATTATCTCAATTAAGCTGAACCAAAAAGGGCTCTCCTAAATCCCACAACTGGAAAAGGAAGACTTGGGGAGAAAAACAGCTACAATAGTGGGCCTGATTTGCTATCTGAGTACAAACTAATTTATGTGTGTGAGTGTTTTGTTTGCATGTATATCTGCACAACACATGTGTGCCTGGCCAAAAGCCTTTATCTGGTCTCCTGGAATTGGACTTGTAGATGGTTTTGGTATGCTGTGTGGATGTTGGGAATCAAACCAGGGTCCTCTGTGAGAATAAGTGCTCTTCACTGCTGAACCATCTCTCCAGCCCCTGAATGTAAAAGCCTTACTAAAAGTTGTTACATGAAACTTTTCTGGCAGCAACCTGGACACATGGCTACTCACCCCACACAGAGCACTGGCATTAGATCAAAGTCATGATCCCACAAAATCCATCTTGGTGAGCCAGTAAGTTCACTGAAGCTACTTGCAGGAATATAGGTTAGGGGTTACTTACAGGAACACG